CATCTGCTGGGACATCAGGCTGGGCAGTGGGAGCAGAGTCCTGGGCCTGCCCAGGTGATGGCTCTGTCCCATACTCCAGACTGCTCAGGACAGGCTGTGATGAAATCAGCATGTCCTGGGTGGTCTTCAGGGCCCGAGGGGTTCGCTTTCTGGTTATGGCAGGTGGAGGATCCAGCCGAGGAAATGCTTCTTGCAGGACTGATCTGTAAGGTTAATGACAATAAACATACATGCCTTAAGGACAGCAAGACACCAGTCCACCTGCCATCCTGCTTCTCCAACTCCAGTTGCACTTTCGACCCACCCCACTCAATGAATGCTCTACTCCTTGGGCTCTGGTTCTTGGTTTGGCATGTAGGTCTCAGCACCTTCAGCACAACAGTAGCTTTTGGCCTGGTCCATGCTCACTCACTGTTCAGAGCAGCACAAGGTGCTGGCCTCTAGAAGACAGGATAGAGACTACTGGTGAAGCTTGTCAAATCAGAACCTATGGAGTAACTCCTGCGGAGGGCATTCCCACCTCAGATGCACAGGTGTTTAAAACAAGGCCTGGAAAGAGCCTGTTGGTAGAAGGGGGAAGAACAGGAGGGCTGCTACGGGGGGCTTCTCCTGCCTTGCACTAGTGGGATCTGACAGGTGCAGGCTTCTCCACAAGCAATGGTCTAGGGCAGCGGTTCTCAGCTATGGCCAGGCATCAGAATCTACCTGGGGAACTTCTGGACAATACTTGGGTTCAAATCCAGCTCTGCCAAGTACTAACTTTGTGACCTCAAGCTGTTTACTTTGCCTGTCTAAACGTGAGTTACCTGCAGGATGGAAATACCATCTACCTCCCAGGGCTGCTGGGAGGGTTAGACAAAATGATGCAACCAAAGCCTGAAGCACAGTGCTGAGGACATGACACTCAGCAACCTTCAGCAGCACAGAGCTGAGGACATAGTAGGCACTCAGCAACCTTCAGCTGCGGCTGCGGAAGGTGAGGCCAGCTCCCGAGAACGTGGCCTGATCCTGCAGCTTTTCAGTACAGGACAATCTCATACCCCTCCCTTGGGGCTGTTCTCCTGTGGAGACACCGTAGTTTGTCCCTGTACTTTTTCAAGTGGGTTCACAGAGGGGCATGGATGTTGGGCGGGTAAGGGGCTCACCTTTCATCCTCTGGCCAAGCCCCTGGAGCCGCATCAGCCCCACTGACCAGCTGTGCTTCTGCAGTCTTGTTGATCTCCGTCACACCCACACTGCCCAGGCTGGAGGGCTCCTTTCTCCGTAGGAAGTCATTCACTTTGGCCCCCATGGCTTTGCCCAGGTTCTTGAGGTGCTGGCTGCTGCCCACCCAGAGTCCTGGCCCCCCAGGCTCAGCAGAGCCCAGAGGGGCAGAGCTGGGGGCCACGGGCTTGGACAAGTGGGGGAAGGAGCGGCTGGCCTGGAGCTTTGGAGTGAGGGCTGTGTTCAAATTCTCAAACATGCCGTGGTCAACTGTGAACAAAGAGGGGACAGAGCGACATGATGAGGAAAAGGGAGTGGGACCTGTGCCCTCTCATTCAGCTTTCCTTATCCCACACCCAAAACTTGTAACTTCCAAGCCTTTGGAAATATTCAAGTGAGAGCTGGTAAAGACACTCTTGAACTTCCCAGTGCAGTTTTCTTGATGGGAGAGGAACTAGAAATTCTAGCTCTGCCCCATCCAAGTTAATCAGTGACTAATGCTAGCCATAAAAAAATAAAATTGTTCCTGTAAACCTGCCTCCTTGACTCATGGGCTTGGCCCCTTTACCTTGGAGTCACCACGCCCTTTGAAGTAAAGAAAAAATGAGGATGAAGCAATGAAACGTGACATTTTTACATCGCTATAAGCATGTGCTGAGCTCTCAGTGGGTTGGAAGCTGGTGGAGGGACAGCATGGATGAGGCTTGGTGTTAGAAGCTCCCCACTGAAGGCCATGAGTATAGCACAAATTCTCCACGAAAAATGGGGCAGCAGCTCCTCAGGTCTACAGAGGTGGGACTCGAGCGAGTGGGCCAGCTCTTGCAGAGATGCTAAGTGGTGGTTCAGAATCAGTTCATACCAAATGGATAGGTCAGCCCCACTCAGTGAGGCATGAGGATCCTAATGCACATCAGCTTACTTAATCCTTACAACCACCTAGGGAGGTGGTGCATGGAAGGATATCTACCTACAGATGAAGCCTGCAAGACTCCACACAATGCAGTGCCGTGCCTGAGGTCACACAGTTTAATACTAGCAGGGCTGGAACTAGAACTCAGGCCTTCTAACCCACAGCTCAGGGCTCTGTCCACAACTTTGTCCTGCTACAGATCATGGAACAGCTGCCTATATATGCCTAGTACATAGTCCTTCTTGTAGGGATCCTCTTTGGCTTGAAAAATTAACTCAAAGAGCTGGGTATAAACCCATTAGGTTGTAAAGATTTGCAAGGCAGAGGCCACGCCTCATTCATCTTTGTATCTTTTGTATACAAAGCCTCAGTTTGGTACACAGCTATGCTCAATACAGATCTTGACTCGCCAAAACCCATTTTGTAGATAGAAAATTGCGGTGGCCAAGGTGGTAGCTTAAAAGTTTGTTATTGAAATGACTGGAGCTCCAGGCTCTAAGCCATGCTGTCCACACACTCACACTAGGCCATCCTCTCCCTATCTGGAAATCCAACTCAGTCATCAGGCAGCCAGACCCACTCTGAGGCCTTGGAATCTGGGTCAAGGTTTCTGTCTACACCAACTACCCCTGATATGTTGTCAGTCTGAGGGAAGTGATCATTTGATCACCAGGCTCCTTTCCTTGTCAACACCTCTGCTAAGTGTCTATTCTCACTGAGCCTCTTCTAAGAGTAACTGGGGTTAGGGTGTACTTTTTCTTCTGCAGAATTTTTGTGTAAAGCAGTTCTTTCTGCCCTGCACTGCTGCATCCTGGGCCAGTGGAAACCTTTCTTGTAGTTTCAGTGGTGCTATCCTTTTTTTTTTTTTTTAATGAGTATACAAACATTTATTATTATTATTACTATTACTATTTTGGGGGGGACAAGAGTCTTACTCTGTTGCTCAGGCTGGAGTGCAGTGGCATGATCTTGGCTCACTCGGCTAGGATTACAGGCGCCCACCACCACGCCCAGCTAATTTTTTGTAGTTTTAGTAGAGATGGGTTTCGCCATGTTCGCTAGGCTGGTTTTGGACTCCTGATCTTAGGTGATCTGCCCGCCTTTGCCTCCCAAAGTGTTGGGGTTACAGGCAGGAGCCACTGCGCCCGGCCGAAATGACAGTTTTTAAACATAAAACAAATTGAGAGAAGAATGCAATAAAGGCCACTATATCTGTTATCTCAAGAAAACAAGTCTTTTTCTCTGTGTGAATGACTGGAAGGTGTCATCATTAAGTTTAAATCTCTTAATAATAAGAGTTTTCTATATGATTATGCCAGTATTGCAATTCCTTTACATTATCAAAGTTCATCCTTAGATTTCTCCAGTTGTTTCCCAAATAAAACAATTTTGAGCCTGGAGGACAAGCACCAAGATCTGTCCTTGAAGTCCAGGAAGGGATAGCATTGCAATCAAATCAGTAAGTACAATCAATGGATTTGATAGAGGGCTGTGTAGAGATAGTAAAGGGAGGGTTGCTTAATCTAACTGAAGCTGGTTAAGAAATGCATAGTTTACTGTCACCTTTGTCCAGTTCTTAGAGATGAATGAATGGTGCTATCCTTTCTAGGCTGACTACCTAGATACATCATATTCTAAGGGCCTTTGGGTGGCAGGGAGGAAAACCTGTGGGAAGAGGAGTGGAGACTAGTCTCTGCAGATGAGCCCTGTGGCCTTCACCACTGCAGGGTGAGGACCTGCCAGGGAACAGCATGACAGCATCCCTCAGACACAGGGCCCGAGCTGGCTGGGCTCCGGATAGACCCGCCGCACCAGCAGAAGCTTCCAGCCCGCTCCACAGCAAGCAGGGTCATCAACTCCTGATTATTCTCCTAAGTGTGTATCTTGCCACATCCTCCACTTTGGCACAATTTGCCTGTCGGGTCCCACATCTGTCTTATTTTCTTTAATCATGTCATCTGCCAACTAGCAAAGAAGATTTGGAAACCAAACCATTTAACTATTTTCCCCCAAACCAGAAAGCACATAGACAACAATGAAACTGTACGAAATGCCTGGGGAAGGCAAATTGCCACCACTTCCCAAATCAGACATTTCCCTGGCGGTCTCCTTACTGGTTTAAAGTGACTTTTCAGAGTAGTCATACTCGTTTTCAAAAAAGCAAGCACCAAAAACACCTGTCAAGGTGATTAGTAAATTATAAGCTATTATTATTTTTAAAACACTCTTTGTAATAAACGTAACTCAGGATTATGCACCATTTTGGATTTTCTGTATTTTTTGCTCTCTACCCTTCATAACATAGTCTATAATGCACTGAATTGTCAAGTAATGTAAAAATAGCCTACCATGCACTCCCTTTACCCTTGTCTAAGTCTTTCCAGTAAATACACCTTGTCTTAAAATGGTAAGCTCCTTGAGGGGCCACAGCATCTGAAGTGTTTCTTTATCTTCTACAATGCCGACCTTAGGGTCTTGCATGATAGTAGGCATTTAATAAGTTTGTTTAATTGAATTTGACTTTACATGAATTCTTAAAAATTGCATGATGGGCTGACACTATAGGGAAACTGCCCACAAGTCTTTTTCCATTTATAAAAACCACTCAAAAATCCCTCTATGTGAGTGGTCTTCAGAGGCTCTGGAGGTCAGATGTTGAGAACTGCCCTTCTATTCCAAGTGAAAGTGGGCCTCTGGCTGGGGGTCCCTCTATCCCTGTGTCTGAGGACGTGCAATGGGTCCTTCTTGATGATGACGCTAATGACCCCCACACATTGTCTCTCTTGCTTTAGGACTACAGGCTTGATGATTCAGAAAATAATGGCAATGGAGGAGAGAGAGATGACTGGACCCCAGCCAGGTGGCCCTCCCAACAGCACCCCCCAACATGCACACACCCAAGCAGAGGAGGGCATCTGGGAATGTAAGTCATCCACAAAACAACGGGATATCTTACCTGTCCGAGAAAGGGGCTTGGAAAGCAGGTGGGAAGCAAACAAGAGAAAGACTCATTTTACATAGTGACCAATCGCTTTGAGAGTGTCACCTACCACCTGGGCCACCAGCAACAGCAAACCTCGGGAGGACACAGCACACAAGACAGGGGACCTGCTACAAAGAGTGGTGCGCACCCGGGAACCACCAGGCTCCCACAAACTTTTCAGTGACTAAACCAAAACTGGGTCGCATTTTAAAAACTCTACACAGGCACTGAGAGATTCCGCCTTTCATATTTCCCCCCAGTATGTTGAGCACCTTTACATTAAGTCTGAGGTTCCAGTGGGAAAGTCTGAAGTTGGCAGTGGGAGGAATGTGATGGGTCAAGACAGAATGAATGCAATTCCAAGTCCTCGGGGCCCTGTGTGCACCACTCACAGGTATGCTACTGTCCACATGTCACTCACTGGGTTTTAGCCAGGAAGACATTCATCCACTCGAGTTTAGAGTCTAAACTAATCATATAGGAAAATCAAGTAGCAGAGAGGTTTGCCCAGTATCACACAGGTAGCTCATGGCGGAGTGGGGTTAGAAGTCACATAAACCGATGCCCAGACTCATGAGCTTTCTCTACACCATAATGGACCAAATGAAATTGCTGATACCCCCAAAATTGCCAAAGTATGTGGCTTCAACTTACTTTCCAACACACGTGAATGTTCCAAACCAGGCTATCTGGGAGGAACACGAGGGGAATCATGTTCTCCCATTGTCCTTCAAATGTTTCAGTACTGTGAATAAATACACACAGGAAGACAACTCTGGGCTATCATGTGCAGAAGCTAACTCACACTCCAGTCACACATGCTTGACAGCACCTCAAAAGAAGCCCATCACTATTTCCAGAGTGGCCATCGCTCCCCATGCAGCATAAACATACCTGCCATTTAGATCTGCAGCCCTGTTCTGTATCTAGCTGACACGTGATAATCTAGAAAGGGGTGCCTTCAGTTTATCTTCCGAGTCACAATCATCTTTCACCTTATCCACACCTTGCTAGTGCACAATGTTGTCACAGGACAAGTGAAACGAAGAGGCAACCTTGCCTCTCTGGAGTCCCAGAGTCTCCCCATCAAACTGACTTAAGCAATGAGCAAAACAGTATTAAGTCACCCATTTTTGTTTTAGTCACTCGCTAAAAAGAGCACCAACCACTGAAACCAGTATTTGGTCCCTATTCTTAGGAAATACACATTGAAATACTTAGGTGTGAAAGGACATAGTGTTTATAACTTACCTTCAAATAGTTCAGAGAAAAAATTAAGTATACACACATACACATGGGGCAGGGGGCAGGAGGAAGGGGACTGATACAGCAAATTGGGTAAAATGTTAATAGGAAAATCTGGATACAGGGCATATGGGTGTTCTTTGTATGGATTTTATTTTTGCAACTTTTGAGACGGAGTCTCGCTCTGTCACCCAGGCTGCAGTGCAATGGCACGATCTTGGCTCACTGAAGCCTCTGTCTCCCGGGTTCAAGCGATTCTCCTGCCTCAGCCTCCCAAGTAGCTGGGATTACAGGTGCCCACCATCACGCCCAGCTAAATTTTGTATTTTGAGTAGGCGGGGTTTCACCATGTTTGTCTGGCTGGTCTTGAACTCCTGACCTCAAATGATCCACCCGCCTTGGCCTCCCAAAGTATTGGCATTATAGGCCTGAGCCACTGCACCCAGCCTTTTCTGCAACTTTTATAAATTTGAATTTCCAAAGAAAATGTGAAAAATATATAAACCTCAAAAAACAAACTAAAACAAAACAATAAAAATATTTGCTGACAGAGATTAGGCTGATAAAGGAGAAGAAAAGGAAGGAGATTATTCAGACAGGACAGAGGTTTCCAGGGCTGGAGGGCTGGGGGTAGACAGTGTCAACACAGAAAAGTGACGATAATAAAGATAAAAGGGGACAAACAGACAACATCACTATAGTATCTCTACTATTTTCTTCTCTCTGGGTCTTCTCAATCAGGGCCTGCCGCTGGGCAATGGCAAGTCAAAAACAATCTTTACACATTTTAATCTTGCTTGCAGTTAGACTCCATTCATCTTCCAAAGGGTAACCTAGTTGGGTAGTGGAATCCTGTGCCTTGTGACATCAACTGCGCTCAGAATGTTTATCCTCTGGACAAGCCAGCCAGCCTCTCCAGAGCAGGCGTGTGATCTCTGTACACCACAGTGGTCAGAATATGGAGAACTTCTCACTCCTCAGCATCTCTGGACCTCCAATCTCTTCTTCCGCCCTGAGTGCTTTTCCCGACATTATGTTCTCTCGTGCCACCAGCCTGCCAGGTAAACTCTGGTGCCACTAGGGCCACAAAGATGTGGTTTTTTTGAAGCTTTTAATTGAGTACCCTACCAGAGCATGTTACAGGACCATGTAACATGGTTTAGTGAGAAAGTCAAATTACGTATGGGGAGAAAATAATTTTTCAAAAAATTTGTGGTAAGTAGTTATTGCTGTGTATTGACTTTTGTTAAGGGAAGAAAGGGGTACACTTTTTTTTTTTTTTTTTGAGACAGAGTTTCCCTCCTGTCACCCAGGCTGGAGTGCAATGATGCAATCTTGGCCACTGCAACCTCCGCCTCCTGGGTTCAAGCGATTCTTCTGCCTCAGCCTCCATTTATCACCAAGCTTTTCCCCCCTAGAGTGTGCATGAAATCTCAAGGTAGTAGTATGTCTACATAGAGTAGAAACTAGTTTTACCTCTGTTTTGACAAGCTTGTAGAGGATTTGGAGTTAGCAAACCATCAGAGAAGCCTAAGCAGCAGGGTAAACTGATCAGCACATCCTGGAATAAAGCTGGACACCCTGATGACTCCCTGTTCAAAAATACGGTCCTTAGACTTGCAACATCTGCGTCATCTGGGAGCTTTTAGAAATGCAGAATCTCAGGTTCCCACCCCAGACCCATTGAATCAGCGCCTGCATTATTAACAAGATCCCCAGGGCATCCCTATGCACAGTAAAATAGAGAAGTACGGCTCAGTGAAGTAGGCCTCCTAAGCATTCATTTGCCTATATACATGACATTTATAAATTTGTCCCCCAAAATGAACACAGCTTTTTTCTGGGATTTGAGGCAGGTCAGCTTTTTGTCCAAGTGTTAGCAGCTACTCCAGGGTGTGCCGTGCAGTGATGGTCCACGGGAACCCTGACTGTGGGTGTGAGATATTTCAACTGGACAATCCTCAAAGCGGGCATGGAACATTGCTCTGCAGCCTGTGACTCTGGGTCCCAGGATGCCCAGGAGACTGGCAATGCGGAGTGAAGTCATCCGTGTGATGAGATGCAGGAGGGTCAGGTGAGGGGCAAGCCAGGCACAGAGGTGTCATCTGGGCCACATCATATATCCCACTTTGCAGAGGATGTTTCTGAGGCCTGAAAGAAATGGCACCATTCAGAATTCCCCAGGATGTCATCCAGAATAGCTCTGCCTGGCTGAGTTCGAGAGGTCACTGTTCTGTTTCAGCTTTGAGATGCCTTGAAGTACAGAGGTTGAGCCTCTAGGTATGCCTGGGGGAGTCCCAGGAAGTGGAATCCCAACCTTGCTCAGCTCACCAGTGTTTCTTCTGTAACCCAGACATTGCAAAGACAGCGGTACCCACTGAGGCATCCAGCCCAGCTCAGGCCCTGCCACCCCAGTACCAAAGCATCACTGTCCGGCAAGGGATACAAAACACAGTGCTCTCACCAGGTGAGGCCTTCTCTGACTCTGGGTGGGAATGTATGAGAAGCTAAGGATGAATAGGGGCTGCTTCCCTAAGGGAGCAGAGGTGTCTGGAAGCTGGACCCCCATGCGTGGCCTTGTCACCTGCAGCCTCCTATCTGGCCCTTTTTCCTTTGGTAGACACCCACAGGCCTGGGGCTCTCGCCTTGCCTCCCCTCTGCTGTCTCTGAAGCTGGTGCAAGAGCTTCTGGCTGAGTGGGCTGTGGAGGGTAGTGAGGCTACCCCTCAAGATGGGTAGTGAGGCTGCAAAAAGGGTCACAGCCACGGGTGGCGAAAAGAAGGACTATGGGAGGCCGCCGGTCTGGCTGTCTGCTGGGTCACCTGTCTGTGTCTATCCTTAGACACAGGAGTCAGTGGACATGGTATCTCCAGGAAGGGAAGGACTTGACAAATACCAAGGCTTACTAACTAAAAGCAGCCTCTCCCATCCTAAGATCCAGTGGCCCTTTGTACCCCTAGAAAAAGAATGAAGTGAGAAGGAATGCCCTCGGCTGCTCTTCCCACCATCTTGCGTCTGCTCTCAGGACTGCAATTGTGGTGGGGTGGAGGTAACTGAGGACATGCCGGATGTCTGCCTTCTTGCCTTGCTGCTCTGGCATCCTTGGTTCCACTGCTCCCTGCCAGAGGCTCTGACCTGGTCCTTTCCTTTGCAGACTGCAGCTTGGGGGACACCCAGCACGGAGAGAAGCTGAGGCGGAACTGCACTATCTACCGGCCCTGGTTCTCCCCCTACAGCTACTTTGTGTGTGCAGACAAAGAGAGCCACCTGGAAGCTTACGACTTCCCAGAGGTGCAACAGGATGAGGGCAAGTGGGACAACTGCCTTTCTGAGGACATGGCTGGGAGCATCTGTTCGTCCTCTTCCTCTGCAGAGAACACTTGCCCTCGAGAAGCCACCAAGAAATCCAGGCATGGCCTGGACTCCATCACATCTCAGGACATCCTAACGGCTTCCAGGTGGCACCCAGCACAGCAGAATGGCTACAAGTGTGCGGCCTGCTGCCGCATGTACCCCACCCTGGACTTCCTTAAGAGCCACATCAAGAGAGGCTTCAGGGAGGGCTTCAGCTGCAAGGTATACTACCGGAAGCTCAAAGCCCTCTGGAGTAAGGAGCAGAAGGCCTGGCTCGGAGACAGGCTCTCCTCGGGCAGCTGCCAGGCCTTCAATAGTTCTGCTGAACACCTTAGGTAAATTGGCGGTAAAGCCTACTTATGTCTCTAGAGAGATGCCAATAAAGTTAGTCACAGCCTTCTGTCCAGTCTGAGGTCACCCCGTATAGCCTGCTGTCCTTCCCAGAACCCGGCTCCCATCCCCTTTGGCTAATGGTTGCCTAGCAACACCAGGCACACACCCTCCCCTTTCTCTCTTTTAAAAATAAAGACAATACCTGAAGTTTGGGAATATCCTCTAAGGCAGAGGTTCTCAAAGTAAGGTGCCCAGCCGGCAGTACCAGCATCCCCTGGGAACTCTCAGGCCCTCCTCAGACCTGCTGAATCAGAAACCATGGGGCTGGGGCTGGTGGTCTGTATTCTAACCAGCCCTCCAGGTGACTCTGATGCAGTTCAGCTATGAGAAGCACTGCTCTAGGATCCTGGCCTCTGCTTGGTCCCTGTGTGGTCAGTCCTTGCCCCACCCTGGGATTAAGGAGCTGGATGCCCTTTCCTATTTGCATGGGGAAGAATCTCTGCAGTTTTAAAGGCTTCTCTGATGGTAGATCTTCTGAGGAGGGGAATGTGGAGGACAATATGCCTCTGAGTATAAGCCAGGTCAGAGGCAGATGAGGCTGAGCTCACCCAGGGCTGAGCTCACATGTGCCACCATCATTCACTTAGAACAGCCATCTTGTGCTGGCGCAGAATAGAATCAGTTTTGACCCACGAGACATCTTTTCATGGCTGCTTTGAGCCAGGTGAAAATGGGCAGGTAAACATGGGAACCTATTGCTTCCTGTTACCAAGTAATGTGCCCAGCGGGCAGCCCTGACTCTTCCTCCATTTCTGAGTGAACCTCCAGGTCCATCTGACCCAGAAAGACGGATAAGCATCAGGGATGCAGCAAGGACATCTATCTTGACTGTAACATGATTCTTAAAAAGCACCAAATGCTTGCTGGTCATCCTTTCAGGCCTCATTTACCTCTTGCTTCACCTCCCTGATGATTCAGTGGCCCCTCCACTGCAGTGGGCACTGCCTTGCAGGGACCCCGGCACAAACCCTCCCCTGGTCTTTACCTCCCCCAGGGCTTGGCCAGCAGGTGGCCTGGAGGGTCCTGCCTCACCTCCCAATGGCTTTTCCTCCAGAGTCTTATCTAGGGCTCAGCAGAGCTGCTCTGCTTATCAGTGTGCTGCGAAAATCTCATTTGTGGTTCTCTCATTCCCCACAGAGCGGGAGGGAGGCTGGGCTCAATCCCCATCACATCATATGCTGTGAGACCACTCCCGCCCTGTGCCCTCGAGCCATGCTTCTCACCCCATTCTATCCCCAACCCCACCCAGCCTGCCTCCCAGAGTCCACTTGGCTGCCAGGCTCCAACTGGGCTGGGAGCCAGGACAAGGTCACAACCTGTCCAGTCCAGTGTGCGGGGGTCTCCAGGCAGCCCTGACATCACTCCCAGGACCCTGTGCCCTGAAAGGGCAGATGAGTGGCTCTGGGCAATCTTTTTAGTCCTTACTCTGAGCTAGTGTTGTCTCTTGTCCTTTGCCAACCCCATGCTCCCTTCTCTATGGCATCTGTACAACAGGCATAGAACACATCACGAGAAGGAAAACAAGCAGGCCAGAGACTGAGCCCAGGTGCCACGGCACGTGTCCATCCTGCCTGCCAGGTGCTTGTGGTTAGTGTCTTCTCCCTAAAGACAAGGCGTTTTCCACATTCCACATTTAATGTTGTATCAATGTAACCCCAGGAATTTTCTCAGTACAGAGCTAAGTTTTAGCAGAGCAGGAAAAAGCACCCAGCACTGTACTGAGCAGCACAGGTGCAGGTAGAAGGAAGCTCCCTTATCCTGGGTCACTGCCAGGCATTCTCTACCAGGTGCTTTTAAAATGCAATCTCATTTACTCTCCAGAGTAGCTTTTTGTGGTTTATACTGCCCCCATTTTCGAGATGAGAATACAAAGCTCAGTTCAGTTCACTTAGCCAGAAAAGAACAGAGGGCACGTGAACCCAGTTGATCTAACCTTTCCAACTTTCTCTCTAGCCTAGGCCTGACGAAGCATCAGGCTTAACACGTCCTCTGCCTGCAAAATGGCTAAAAGTTCCAGTCAAAGTGACCTGGCTTCTCTAAAGTCTGTTCTGTGAGATCCACAGCTCCTAATTCCTCAAACTCTCCCTCCTTTACCAACCTCCTCTGCCCTTTCATTTGTACTCCTTGCAGGGAAGCCTACATTCCCATGAGTCAGGACTTCCGTGCTGAGCTGTGTTGCAGTGATACCATGATCCCCCCTGAGGTAGGTATGAGGAGGAGCCTGTTTTGTCCCCAATATGAACATTTCTAGAATAGGCCTATTCAGACTTCTACCAACTACATATTTCAGGCATTTAGTCATGAAGTCAGTGAAACAGTTTAACCTTTTTTTTTTTTTTTCCTTGAGACAGGGCCTCGCTCTATCACCCAGGCTGGAGTGTGCAGTGGCGTGATCTCGGTTCATTGCAACCTCCGCCTCCCAGGCTGAAGCCATCCTCCCACCTCAGCCTCCCAAGTAGCTTGGACCACAGCCACTCACCACCATGCCTGGCCAATTTTTATGCTTTTTTTGTAGAAACGGTCTTTTCCCATGTTGCCCAGGTTGGTTCAAACTCCTGAGCACAAGCGATACACCTGCCTTGGCCTCCCAAAGTGCTGGGATCACAGGCATGAGCTGTATAATCTTGATTATAAAATTATACAGTTATATTGGCAAATATCTATGATGTAGTAATTTTTCAAGCACTCAGAACTTGATGCTGGCCAGGCGTGGTGGCTCATGCCTGCAATCCCAGCACTTTGGGAGGCCAACGCGGGAGAATCGCTTGAGCTCAAGAGTTTGAGATCAGCCTGGACAACATGGTGAAACCCCGTCTCTACAAAAAATACAAAAATTAGCTGGGTGTTGTGGCATACACCAGTAGCTACTTGGAGAGACTGAAGTGGGAGGATTGCAGAGCCCAGGGAGGTCAGGGCTGCAGTGAGCCATAATCATGCACTTCAGCCTGGGCGACAGTGAGACCCCTGCCTTAAAAAAAAACCCCAAAAAACAAAAAGCCCCGAAACTCAAAATCAAAAAACAAACTGGTTGCTACTACCCACATATTCTAATGATATTTGGAGTTTGAAAAAACCTGGGATTGGCAGAGTCAGCAAAAATGGGTGTAGATGAGAGTTTCCCAAACTCAGGACTACTAACATTTGGGGCTGGATGATTCTTTGTTGTGGGGGGCTGTCCTGTGCATTGTAGGATATTGATCAGTATCCCTGGCTTCACTCACTACATGCCAGTAGCTTTGTGACAACAAAAAACATTTCTAGACATTGTCAGATGTCCCCTGGTGAGGCAAAATCATCCCTAGTTAAGAACCACTGATACCTCTGATCCCGCAGGGCTGATCTATATAAAGTGCAAATGAAGCCACCATCTTCCTCTCCTCCTACAGGGAACTTGTGAATCCTTCCTCAATCCCATACCTTTGGGAACCATGTCACAGAGCTGATGCCACTTGGCTTGGGAAGTGGGGTGGAAGTGAGGGGGAGAGAAGGAGCAGGTGGAATAGAAGCAGCAAGAAAATACAATGGAAAAGCTTTTAGAAATAAGAAAGGTTTATTTAGCAAAAGCCACTAGACTAGTGACAACATCCAGGGAGTAAGTGCACTTACATTAACAGAATCTTTTCCCAGAGAGTTGATCCAACAGAGTTAATGACACACAGCTTTAGGAAGTAGAGGGCTAGCAGGTAGAGGGTTAGGAGGAAGCAGTCAAGCAAAGAGTAGATAAAAGGAATACAACTCCTAAACAAGATCCATTGAGAGAAATGAGGCTAGGAAGAGGTTTTACAGAGAGAGCATTGATATAAGCAGGAATATAAGGAATATAATTTTTAATCCCAATATACAGTCCATCCAGTGTGGAGAAATTCTTTCCTGGCTCCATAACTGTGGGAGACTCCTGTGCACGAGAGTCTGCTGGCACCTGGGGCAGGCTGGGGCAGGCACCAATAAGGACAGCACCCCTGGTGTCCATTTGTCCTCCATATAGGGCAGAGTAGAAGAATGAAAAAGAGGAAGGCAGAGTTGAGTTAGCAGAGCAAGAAGCAAGGAGGGAGGACAGGGTGACATCGTTGGGAAATCAGGTCTGCAATGTTCCCTTTCCTGCCCAGTTGGCCCTGATGGAGGGTTGGTCGCTGGTGATCCTTCAAGGTTCCTAGATCTGTCCTTTGTCTCCCATCTCCACACACCAAGTGTGCACTGGTTTGGGTCCCACTAGGGAGGATGCCAATATACAAACTAGTCCTTCAGGGAGGGCCTGAACTAGGGAAAGGGTGGGGCCCAGGCAGGAAGAAACCACTATGGAACACCCCAAGGGCAAGAGTCTTGGATGGGTCCCAAAGTCAGCAACACAGATAACTAGTTTCCCCAATTCTTTAATCTCTCCATTTCCTTTTGTCTATCCAATCTTAAGTTTTTACAGACCATTTAGAAATGGCCTTCCTCACTCGCTCCCTGGCCACATCCCACACAAGCCCTCTCCATCCACATTCCACACACCTAATCCACTGGCCTCTGGCTTTATCCTCAGCTCCTGCTTACATCCAGAAAACAGCCTTTTCACTCCTCTGAACATTCAAAATCTTAATAATCGAAGCGGTCTTGGACTCAAGGAACCCTGGGTTAGATTTAACAAGCTAGGTAGGCTCAGTCACACTGGATTCCTGACAGCTGCTCATTTAGTTTCATGGATTTCACTTTCCTAGTTCTTCCTTCTCTGTGTACCTGTACCTATTTCCAATGGCAACTTAGATCAAAACAAAACAAACAGAACCATGCCTCTCCAACTAAATGCATGTTAGAAAACACAAATCTGTTGCTGATTCAAACACCCTGGAGATTCCCACTCTTTTCTGTCTGGTCACAATCCTACATATAGGTACACACCTTCCCTCACACATGTATATATAAACACATGTGTACACATACACACAAAACACACACACACACCACCCCATCCTATTTCCACTGACACCCTGATGCACCAAGGAAGGCTAACATAAAACTGAATTTATTTCCTTTAATTTGGACTTTCTGGGCTAAACCAACTGTGGCCATTAGAAGAGGACTGCACTTTTATTTATATACATTCTAAAGCAAAGCTAGGATCGATGAACTCCATTTTGGGACAATCATATCCTTGCCGATTGACCCTCCAAAAA